GACCCCCCTCCCCCCAAACCCCCCCCACCCCCCCAAACCTCCCCCCCCAACCCCCAAAACACCCAACCCAGCCCGGTAGGAAAAAAAATTGAAAAAAAAATGGCCCGAACTGGCCGGGCCAGTTCGCATTTTAGGGGGCCTGAGCCTGCACTGGGATTAGACCGGTTCCGGTTGGCCCGAACCGTCCCCAAGACCGGGTACCGGGCCGGTCCGGTCCGGTTTCGGGTCGAGCGGCCCGACCCGAGTCCACCCCTAACTCCATATAAAAACAGAATAATGGTTAGTCACCACTCACCAATGGTAGGAGTGGATTAATATTCATAAGACAAGTGATTTTTTTTCTTCAACAAGATAAACACCATTAAAAGTATTGTTTTGAAACCTGAGAATAGGAGTACATGGTCATCAATACATATCATTGTGAAGGAGTCGATTAAGAAAAGGTCAAATCATTGGATGTGTAAGTTGCCTCCTGAGTCCCTAAATCGTAAATCCTAAACCACTCACCGTAAACCTAACATCCTTTATCCATACACCCTAAACCTTACATCTGAAACCCTACACCCTAAATCCTACACCCTAAATCCTAAATTCTAAATCCTGCACCCTAAAACCTACACTCTACACCCTATAGGATGTAGAGTGTAGGTTTTAGCTAAACCCTACACCCTAAACCCTAACCTAAACCCTAAACCCTACACCCTAAACCCAAAATCCAAAACCCTAAACCTTAAACCCTAAACTCTAAATCTTAAACCCTAAATCCTAAATCCTAAATCTTAAACCCTAAACCCTAAATCCTAAACCCTAAACCCTACACCCTAAACCCTAAACCCCAAACACCAAACCCCAAAACCCAAACCTCGAACCCCAAACTCTAAACCCTAAACCCCTTACCCTAAATATTGTGCTTCATAATTGGCTTTTTGTTTATATCTTGTCAAATGACTCACTTCCAGTTCTTACACTACATTATTGTATTTGATCACTTTGTTTTTCTCCGGTTAATTTAACTTACCCGACATTTTTGAATTGTTAAACAGATGTTATATATATATATATATATATATATATATATATATATATATATATAGAGAGAGAGAGAGAGAGAGAGAGTAGTCTTCCTGTCCAGCCGGCCTGACGGGAACCGTCGTCCGGCCAAGGACATTTCGGGCACTTCCCGGTGGAATTTTTTGATGAAAGTTTTTGAGCATGTTCTTCATGAAGTCTAGTTTATCCATACCAAATTTTAGCTAAAAATTCGATCGGGAAGACATTCAAATCATTTTTTGAAGTTGACTGCGCAATTTATATGTATGAACTGCCCAGTTAACTTCAAGAAATTATTTGAGTGCCTTCCCGATTGAATTTTTAGCTGTAATTTGGTATTGATAAACTAGACTTCTTGAAGAACGTGCTCAAAAATACATATTCTGGACCAGTTAACTTGCAAAAAATTTTTGACGACCTTCCCGATGGAATTTTGAGCTGAAATTTGGTATGGACAAACTAGACTTGATGAGGAACATGCTCAAAAAATTTCATCAAAAAATTCCACCGGGAAGGTGCCCAAACGGGCTCGGCCGGACGGGCCAGCCCGTCAGGCCAGCCTGACATGAAGTTTTCTCTCTCTCTCTATATATATATATATATATATATATATATATATATATATATATAATAGAGTAGTCTTCCGGTCAGGTATACCTGACCGGAGCCCCGTCCGGCCTCCTCCATTTGGGGGCCTTCCCGGTGGTATTGTTTGCTCAAATTTTTTGTGTATGTTCCTCATCAAGTCTAGTTCATCCATACCAAATTTAAGCAAAAAATTTAATCGGGAAGGTCGTCAAATGATTTTTGCAAGTTAACTGGTCCGGAAAATACATATTCCGGACCAGTTAACTTGCAAAAATCATTTGACGACCTTCCTGATTGAATTTTTGGCTGAAATTTGGTATGGATGAACTAGACTTGATGAGGAACCTACACAAAACATTTGAGCAAAAATTACCACCGGGAAGACCCCCAAATGGAGGAGGCCGGACGGGGGGAGTGGTCCGGCCTGGCCGGACCTGAATAGTTGTGTGTGTGTGTGTGTGTGTGTGTGTATATATATATATATATATATATATATATATATATATATATATATATATATAAACACATACACACAATATATATATGCAATAGTTAAAATTTTAGGTGTAGAAAATTTATATACAATAATTATATATATATATATATATATATGACTAAAACAAATGTTATTTATAAACATATGACATCTTAGGTGTAATAATTATAATAGTAACTTATATCTAATTTTTATAATTCAGGGGCCACAAAATTATTCTAAAGTAATTATAAGTCATATATGTACAAATAAGTTTCATTGCGGTAATAATTTTGAAAGAACCTCTATATATTATAGTCAAAATTTATAATGGATTTCAATATTAGAAACGTTAATTGATTTTAATATAATAAGAAATAATTACATAAATATGATCAAAATAAAGATGATTTACAAAAATATGACTAGTGACTAGAGTAGTAATGAAATCATAGTAATTCATGTTCAAGTTTTGAGCTTAAGTTACCACAACACCACATTGTAGTAATGAATAGTCATACTTATATAAATATGTTTTATTTTAGTAATATTCTTGTAAAAAACCCTTTTAATAATGTATATTGGTGTATAAATTTGTATAATAATGAAAAAATGTCAGAAAATTTCCAAGTATTCTAAACACAAGGCACATTAGAAAATTTCTAACTTTTCTCATTTCCTTTTGATCCTTTTCGAGATGCAAATATACCATCAGGTGGGTAAAAATATCAACAGAGATATCGTTGTAATATCTCTAACATGTGGTGAAAATGAAGAAAGAAATCATATCCAGCCTTCAGAGAGGCGTGCCTCAAGTAAATACTGCATCAAGTAAATACCATTGCTTGAATTTATCATAATGAAAGAGAATGGTGTTTCAAAATGGTGTACTGCTCTGCACAGATATTTGACTAGAATACCGTATCGGCGTATCAGAAACGTTTCCGTATCAAATACTCTATTATATATGTATCATACGTTCCCGGATCGTATCTGTAATTTATTAAAAGTTTCCAATTTTTTGGTAATTATTTTAAAGTTTCGGATACCCGTATCCTGACGGATACACGTATGGACTTTTTAAAAAATAACAACCAAAATTTACATAATAAAATTCTAAAAAAATGAAAAAACAAACATAAATTTTACCTTGTTTTAATCTCACACACAACTAACCGACTAAGTATATGGATGACAAATAAAATATGGGATGTTGGTGGAGATGGCTTTGGGAGCTTGGAGGATAAATGAGTAGTTGATTTCACCAACCTTTCCATAGATGTACCAGAATTGGAGGTTGTCTTTTTTTTAAAGGAAAAAATAATTAAAATACCCAAACTTTGAAGGGGTGTGACATAAACACCCCAAACATTCACAGGTAATTAAAATACCCCAAACTTTATATAAATAGTTATTTTAGCACCATGATCATGTATTATTTATTTCAAAAATGTAAATTTGTTGTGTTAATTGCATAATTTAAAATAGCAAATTGAAAACGTTGCAATTATATAGAGTGGGGGGTAACACTATTTATTTTACAATTAAAGTTTAGAATGTTAATTGTATCTACATCAATGCTAAAACATTTTAAATTATGAAATTAACACAAAAAGTTACTCCGTAACATTTTTGAAATAAATAATACATGATCATGGTGCTAAAATTATTTTTTATATAAAGTTTGGGATATTTAAACTATATATGCAAGTTTGGGGTGCTTACCTCACACCCCTTCAAAGTTTGGGCTATTTTATTTATTTTTCCCTTTTTAAAACGATGTTATCTCTTAAAATTGTTAGCTTCAGTGAAAATACGTATTAGAACTTTTAGGGGTTTATTGCACCAAACTCCCTCCTGAAATATAAATTCGGCGCATTAGTCCTCTGTGATTTAAAAATGGGAAAAATTGGTATTATTAATCCCAACTATTCGCAATCCGCGTTTAATAATCCCTGTTATGCACTATTTTCCTATACCCCCAATACTCACTGTCACTTTCGAAGATCTGCAGGCAAAGAAACGCACCCCATACATAAGAGGAGCATGTGCCTAATCTTTCCGGTCATAAGTAAAGCCACCCGGTGAGGGACTATTTAAAGAAAAGGGGATCCAAAGTTGGGGCTACAGGGAAATAATCCATAATAGGGATTATTAAATGCGGACCGCGAATAGTTGGGATTAATAATACCAATTTTTCCTTTAAAAATGCGTCAAACCCCCTGTGTTATAACTAATCATGCCCCAAACCCCCTCCAAGAACAAATTTAATTTCCAAAAAAATGAAAAATGATTAGTTTTCTTGTATAATTTAGAAATTTTGACAAAGTTACTTGCATATTCAACCATATTATTTAAAAAAGTGATTTCAAAATTGTAAAATTTGTTCTTGGAGGGGTTTTTGCGCATGATTAATTATAATAAGGGGGGGTTGACACATTTTTTCAATCACAGGAGACTAATGCGCCGAATTTATATTTCACAAGGCGATTTGGTGCATTAACCCAAACTTTTAGTTTTTTTTATTTATTAGAGTATTGTTTTCATTTCCATTATCCAAGAACTTTGAATACGGAGTACTTGATTTCAAAATTGTGTTTGTTTGACTCGTTTGTCATTTTAAAATAATAAATTATTGACTACATTTATATTTTGAGGTGCACCAGTATATATGAGATAAATTTATATCTAACTATTTTGATAATGTGAAATGATTCAATACCATGAATGGGCAGAGGTCAAATGATAATATATGTACGTATTTCAAAACAAATCTTATAATTTTTAATATTTATAAGTACATCCACATAACTTTTAATATTTATAAATATACTCTCGTATCCGTATCCTACTTTTTTAATTTTATCCTGTACTCGTTTCCGCGTACCCATATCAGTGCTACATAGGTGTGCAGTATTGCCAAACATGGCATAAAGACAAATTAAAGTTAGTGGTAGAGAGGGAAAAATAGAGACCTAGTGCAATTTTATTGGTATATGTTGGGAACTGGGAATGATGAGAATAAAGGATACCGATTACTGGTGCAATTTTTTTGGTACATAGTGAAAATGATAAAAAAACGACTACGCCACTTAAAAAAAGGAATTGCTCCAAGGAATAAATGGATCATCACATCTTGCTCTTGCTTCTTCCAAAACTGTCATAGAATCTAAGGGGATGGATAGCCAAAAAGCACATTTGGAAGTCCAAATCTGAGTGAGCAGAATAGACAGGAGCACACACATAAATTCACCCCACCGACCCTTGTAAAGTTTAAATTATGATCGACAATGCACCTTCACTAGTCCTCCCGCATATCAGGTTTCCTCTTGGCCTGAATTGCAAGCCGGACATCTCGCTCCTTTTCAAATTCTCTGTAATCGGCGCGCTGCAAGAAAGAAACTTTATCTAGATACTGATTTGAGCTCTTCTTGTAAGCATCCAGCTCCTCTTCAACACCTTTGTGTTCTCCCTTGTACTCTACCCAGTCCTTCTTTGTCTTATCCAGCACACTAAGTTTCTGTTTCTTCCTTATTTGTTCAAGAACAGCATCAACTGCAGAAACTGTCCCTCCTGGATGACCTTTCGCTTTATCTGATACTCCCTCTTTTAAGCTGCTGGCATCCACGTACTTCTTTACTTCTACTTGTTCTCCAGCAAAGTCCCTAACTTCAGAAACCTTCCCAAGTAATAAAATATTTTATATAATGAGATGTAGAGGGAAATAAAGTGAGTCATTCTTAAAAAAAAAGTTCCCCGAGTGTTGCATAATATGGTTTGATAAAAGTCCAAGTGCAAGTATATACAAAGTATATACTTTATCCTCACATTCAATGTGTGTTTACATGATGTTCGGTCCTTAAAAAGATTGCAAATACATTTGTGCAGCGGCCAATAAAATCGCTTTTATGCACTTCATGAATGATCTTCAAGGTACCTCTAAACATTTGAAAACTCATGTAATGCTTTTTAAAATTAATACTCGATATGTGGTTCTCCCTAAAGTTCTTTTCAGTCGCACAGACAAAAAATAAATATTGTATCGGCTAACAATATAGCACTTTGACTAGACCCATTTTATCAAAAGCACTTCTTATAAAACTAAGGAATCAGCATTTAAAGTGCTCTAGTTCAACACACACATAACTTGATCAGTAAAGATTCAACTAAGGGATAATATTTCAATATACAAAATTATTTCTGCAAGAGCAAATTGAAAAACGGCAAAATCACCTCAATTTTGCCCCTGTTGGAAGATGCAGCAGCAGTAGAAATAGCATCCTTCGCCGCAGCAAGAGCAGCAGCAGCCAGCTTCTTTGCATCTTCATTGGTCTCCAACTGTGTGATATTAGTTGGCTGCTTTTCAGTTGCACTTTGGACAGGGGATGCTGCCTTTTTTGGTGCCAACCCCAGCACTGTCATCCAATTCTACACAGACATTAAACATTAAATGAAAACTCATTCATGCTAAAAATGACTTAATAGAAACAGAGATGTACAACTATTACTCACAGTGGATGATTTTGAACTCTTAGTCATACTTGATTTGACTGGTGAACTATGCTTCTGTAACATGGAATTAAGAGTTTTAGAAGGCACTCCTTTGTTCATCTGCTGCCAAATAGCATCTACCCTAGCTTTCCTCTCTGTAATCAATTACCATATTGAAGATTAACATTAGGTTGCATCCAGCCCACGAACAGGAAATAGAAGGGAGACTAGGTAAACCTTCGCTTGCTTTATGGAAAGGGAATGTATCGTAGATTTAATAGGGAATGCAAAAACTATGAAAACATACCAGTTTCTTCAGGCTTTGCGCCATCTGAAGTCTTATTATGTGCAACATCTTGGTCAGAGTCCGTTCTGATCCCATCTTTGTTTTCTGATGTACCTGAATTGTGATGCAGAACATTTCACCAGGCAATAAAATTGAGATCCAGTAATGTTGTTCATTGAGTTAGGCTCTGTTTGCAATCACTTAAAATAAGTGATTGTGGCTTTTTTTTAAGAAAAAAACACTTATTTTACCAAACACTACCGACTTTTACTTTCTTGGTTTTCGTGTAGAATCTACTTTTTACTTTTTCTATTACACAAAAAGCACTTATTTTACCAAACACTACCAACTCTTACTACTAATCACTTTTTCCCAAAAAGTGCTTTTATTTAAACACAAGTGATTGCAAACAGAGCCTTATTGCAAGTACTTGGCATCAAAAGCTATGCATGAAGACTACAATGAGTCAAGAGAAAGGCAGGAAGCAGGAATAAAGCATGGCTAGCAGGAACAACACGCGCAACAAGCACGAAAAGCTCCCCTTGCATTCCTAGAACTATGTGATATGCACAAAAGAATGTTACTACCTGCATCCGCGAAAAATCATGTCTAACAAATGCGCACCTTTTAATTTTGGAAAGACACATTTGTTAAATATGTTAATACTTCTATTTTAAAATCTATGAGTTGGTTTAACTAAAATCTATTATTAGTAACTCCCATGTGACTCTTTTTGCCAATTGTTAGATAAATTACATGAAGAATTAGATTCATTTGGTCAAACCTATAGTATTGGACTATCTTATTTAAAAATAAGACAGACTGAATTCCAATTTTAATGTTTGAACAGTTCCCCACATTTCTTGTGTTTTTCGAAAATATTATTTGATGTGTTTCATTTTGATGGCATCAACCTATTTTCATGTGTGGCTTGTGGGTCCATGGATCATACATAAATATGGGGAAGGGGGGGGTTTGGAAAACGTTGATTTGACGAAATAATCAAATCAATAGGCAGAATAGCAGATCTCAACGTGATGGAGCAGAGATTTGGGGAGAAATTCTCACAGAACCATGGTCTAGTTAGAAGAGCACTGGAAATTTTTTGAATAAAATAGCTTGTGAGCCAGACTAAAATTTTTCTGAAGGGTGGTCTGATGCCATCCTTGTTCTTTCTCTTTATATTTAATTCAAAATTTTGGATATTATCCTCTTAAGTGCAGACATGTCTGTTAACACCTATCAGACACCCATCCGTCGAGTTAAGCCTATAAAATATCGAAACTATAAATATAGTATCCACAAATGACACATGAACAAACATGCAAAACAATATGAGTAAACTAACAATGAGAGTGCACCATGTTATGTCAAGGGCAGCAATTCGGATGAAGAGGATGAGTAATAGGTATTAAGGTATTAGGTACTCAACTGTGAACAGGCTGAGCTTGTGCAGACAACTCAGCCATTAGGTTAACCCTATAAAAACATGTGGCACAGTATTAAAAGAACATGCATTATAATGACACTGCATCAACCTATAATCAAAATCACTCTTAATTGAGGTATGCTGACATCCACAGTATGACAAGCACCTATATTTTAGAATTTAGATATGACATAACAATTTGTAAGTAATGACACAATACATAGCTATAAAGTAGAAGTTTTTTTTATATGTATTGACGAGATCTTATATTTCAAGAACAGGGTAGTCAAAGTCGTAAGGCGCATTCAAGGCGCAAAAAAAGCGCTCGCCTGACTCATGTCAAGCGCTCGCCATAGTTATAATTCTAAAATAAAAAAACAAGTTAGAAAAAAAAAACGAAACTAAAAGAAGAAAATTGTTATTGGTTAGGAGATAGTATAAAACAAAAGAAGAAAATGACAGATAAAAGAAAGAAAAAAGATAAAGATATAGACTTTTAAATGATGAGATAAAAATAAAGAAAGAAGCTATAGATCTTACATTCAAAAGGCAAAAAATAAGTAAAGAAGAAATTAAAAAGACCAGAAAGAAGATGAAAAAAATGGCAGAAAAAGGAGGTTACCTTGTGCATGTTGTGCAGGGTGTGGGTCGAACACAGGAAATAAGAATGCAACGGTTTAAGTTGTTTTTCCCCTATTAGTTGGATGGGCTATATCTTATTATTGATATGGGTTCATTTAAAATAGACCCAAATCTTATTTTAAAAAGATCAGAACCCTTTACCAGTCCAGGGCTCCAGGCAAGTCAGGTGTGCGCTTCTAGCGCTTCTGTGCCTCTATGCTAGTGTGCTTGTTGCGCTTATATTGCGCCCGCCTCAGTCAGACACAACCTCGCCTGGAAGCGTATAAGGCGCTGCACCTCTAGAGTGCCTCACCTGGTGTTCTTAAGCGACAAGGCGTGCACTTTTGACTACCCCGTTCAGGAATAAAACTATAAAATTCATTACATAATAGGGCCTTCTACAAAAAATTCATCAAACTCCACTACTAATCTGTTATGTGCCTGGATTATCTTTCCATAATATTTTATGGTAGTATGCATCATGATGTAGATCCCTTTTCATCATATACTGGCATACACTAACCGTAACAGTAAAAAGAGACTGAATGAAGTCAAACTGATCATGGGCTTATTCTCAAGAAATTGTAAATCCATTTCTCTTAAAAGTAAGATGTGTCGCAAAAATAGTATAAAAAGTATTAATAAAAAGACTTTTGTAATTAGATATGTTAAATTTACAAACTTAACAACAAATTATAAACCTTACCTGAATAACAAATTTCAAAAGAACAACAAATATACCCAACCATTATAAACACCAACACAAATTAATAAGATAACACGATTTAATAAAAATCAGAATTATAAATCACGCGTCAAATCAATACAACAGATATACTTTTATACGATATGCTATAATGGACTGAACCGCTCAAAGGCGTACCTGAAGTGCAAAACTGTTGGACTTGTTGACCTTCGTGGAGAAGCTGGAATAGACACCCTGGACTGCTGCAGCCTTGCAGCGTGAAGCCGTAGAGGGCTGAAACTGAGAAACTCTTGGAAATCCTGTGGAAGCTAAACCGTTGTCAGCTGGATTAAAGCAGCTGGAATTCGAATTGAAGCTATTAAAAAATTGAAATTGGCGTGGCTGTTTTGTTCTTTGTCCCTAAGCCTGCAAAACCATTAAACCGAAAGCAATCAAACAATTGGAATCGGAATTATTCCATGAACAGAAGCGGCTGTTACAGGTCGCTCGGTCCTGTTATTACCTATAAAGATTGAAGATCGAAGAATAGAAAGCCGGGAGTTCCAAACTTCGGAAAACTAATACCCAGGCCTAAAACCAGAAAACCGATACGAACCGAACCGAATTTTGCGGTTCGGTTCCTATAATCTTGGGCTTCCTTTTTTTGGTTCGGTTCCCGCAATATAGGATCGGTTCGGTTCTGGTTCGGTTCCAGTTCAGTTCCGGTTCCTAGACAGGAACCAAACTTCTTATACATTGCATGCGTAATCTTCATTTGAGGTGCTTCTTTGTGAAATTATTTTATAATAAAATTTTGTGAGCTTATTTCTCATGAAGTATAGATTATGTCCATCAAATGTGAGCTTAAAATTCAATCGAGAAGTCAATTAAATAAATTATTGAAAAATACTACGTCAAATATATGCAAAAAACGCATTGTTTTTCAATATTTTATTTAACTCACTTCCCGGTTGAATTTAAAACTGAAACTTGATGGATATAATATACACTTCAAGTAGAACATGCTCACAAAATGTCATCAAAAAATTCTACTCGGAAGCACCTCAAATTGAGGTGGCCGGACTGCGATTCGGGTAGAAAATTCTTATTAGAAATATTTGTCTTGCGTAATATACTTTATGTATTATGGACCAAGCCAATCTGAGTAATTAATTTTAACTAGTTTAGTCCACTTTTATATTTATTGTTTTTTAGGAAGTATATTTATTGTTTGTTTGTAATTGTATTTGTTATTTGAGTTCACCTAAAAAAGAAATTAATATTCTGTTGATTACATTATTATTTGTTCATAATAAATTACAAATATTAACAATCAGTTTATTACTACGCACTTTTTACTTATGGTGCATTATTAGCAAAAGAATTTATTGTGGGGTTTAAACTACCTGCTATTGGATGTGTACCTCGGAGCTTTTAAACCTATTTGAGTTGATGCCTAGCTATTTTAAACCTTTATGTTTTTGTTATGTTTAAATTTAATGTTTGCACTTGGACTTTTTGTGATATTTGAACATTGGAATATCAAGTATGTGGAATGTAATGGTCATAATTTCATGATTTGAAATTTGATTTTTTTACGTAACGGAAGGTAAAATGTGTTCATTTTAGAAGGATAATAAATTTTTATAAGGAACCAAAAAGGTAAGAACCGAACCAAATTTAACAACTACATTTTTAACTAGAACCGAACCGAATTTACCGCCTATTATTTTTAACTAGAACGGATCCCAGACCTACTAATACCGATTTTTAAGTTTTAAAGTTCCAGCCCAGGTCCAATAGAGAAGGGGAACTCAGAATGAATCGGCTCTGCACCGCTGCAAGCTTCAAGGAATTCAAGCGACAAGCGCCAACGGACGACGACGCGTCAATCGCTACCCTCTTCCCGCCGGAGACTGGAATCGCTGAATCTCTGCCTCTCTGACACCGTTGAAGCGCTGAACTGCTGAACTGAGTGCCCTATCGTATGTTCGTATGGTTCTCTGACTTCTCTCTTAGAATATGTCATTTGGCATCTTAGGAATCTCAAACGTTACTGTCTGAGCATTGGGATATCGGGTCATGTATAAATTTCTTTCTGAAATCGCATAATGATACGTTTCAAGTGTTTCCGTTATATTTACAGCAAAAACATCCCAAAGATCAAGATGATATTGTTAAGGAATATGTTTTTAGTCACTTTAAATATAGTACATTTTGTTTTATAGCAAAATTATTTTTTTGTTTTCCTGAAATTTATGTTGGTTTTTCTTTTAGTCCAACACCAACGATAATAACTTGAGCTCAAAATAACTTCAACTAATAGGACTCCTCTAATTCTTTTCCATTTATTCAAAAAGTATTTAATTTTATATTTTAGAAGTTTTTTAATACATATTTTTAAAATGTGAATAATTAGTTTTTTATCGTTTTAACTCTCATATTTGTCTCAAAAAAATTATAAAAGGATAATTCAAATGTTTCTAGTAGATTTAGGTATATAGCAATAATGTTTTTCTAAATAGAGTGGTTTTGGAGTTAGTGATGGACTAAAAACAAAATAATGCATATTATAGGGATGAGAAACAAAAAACAGGGACCTAAAACAAAATAATGCAGGGACTAAAAACATATTTAAGCCTGTTCTTAAATATGACGGAGTACATTTTTCTTTTCTGCAGGGGATTTGGCGCCATCTGCAATAAAAACTATTCTCCCCTAAATGGGATGCCAAAAGGCTTTTACTGTCTACAGCTACTACTCTGCAACAACAACAATATTAACTAGAAGGCAAATGTCATCAAGCAGCGCTTGCCGTAATCTGTTCATTGGAGGTTTCTCTATTGTTATTTATGGGGCTGGGAGGTCTTTTGGGTTGGATTTGAGTTCTTGTACAAAGTTGTTCTTGTCGCTGGATGATGTAATTTTCCAAAAAGATTCAAATGCAAACAAGTTCGAGCTAATAAATTTAGTTAAAGCGAACAAAAATACAAGTAGGAAGTCATGACTTTTAATGGTGTAATTTGAGCAGTCTTCATGAATAATCATTTGCATCATATGTACACAGAAATTGGCTCTGAAAGCCTGAAGTTATAATTTTTCTGCACTTCAAAGTATACCTTTCTTAATTTATCTTTCCAATAATTTGAAAGCTATCTATGCCTGCTCTTAATATATTTCAAACCCATGTTTCAGGCCTTTCATATGATACAAATGAAACTATTTTGAATGAAGCTTTTAAGAAGCATGGTGAATTGATTGAAGGTAGCAACACTGTACAGTAAACTAGTGATCTTTCTTAGTTTCTGCATTTAGCTTCGTCTGATAAAGACAACATATTCTTTATGTTTTAGTGAAGGTAATATGTGACCATAGAAGTGGCAAGTCGAAGGACTATGGGTTTGTGAAATTTGAGTCAGAAACTGCAGCAAATGAGGCATTGAAGGAAATGAATGGCCAGGTACTTCAACGCCAGTTTTGACACCAAAACCTTTTTCTGTTAGCGCACACCGACACAAATCCATTGTTGTCCTATCTGGAGGTCAGAGTATCATAAAAAAAATGATGTTGATGTAAAAGTTAGTGCACTTTTATGAAAAATGATCTCCATTTCTCCCTATTTTATTGCGCAACTTAATTTGACCCAGAGTTAAGAAGGTAAAAATTTTGCCATTGAGATTTGCTAAGAAGGAAAAGAACTATTCGAAATGCATATTGCTATCCTTGAAGAAATAATAATATGGATTACTTAAACATACGAGTTGCTAAACGTGTGTATATACTTAAGAGACATGGATTACTTTAAGGTAGATTCTATGGTACCCATAAGGTACCATGGTACCCATAAGGCCATAAGGTACCATACCTTCGTCTACATGGACCAATCAGAATATTGCAGTTGAATTATTTAAATCTAAATTAAAAATGATATAATGATTTGGACCAATTAAGTAAATGGTAGGTACGGTACCCCATTTTTTATATGGGTACCAGAGTTGTCACTTTACTTTAATACCTGTTGTTGCTAAAGAGGTGTCTTTGTAGCATTATACGGAGTACTAGTTTTAAAGTGCTTTGTTGCATATCAGCAGTTTCTTTTTGTTTGATTGATTGGTTGTATTGTGCCTTCCATGCAGTTTTTGGATGGTAGAAACATACGAGTCCACTGTGCCCATAAAGGATGACTTCAAGATGCCACCCTAAAGGCTAAAGGAATTATCATATGTATTTTTTGGGGCATACATTAATTTTGTAAATTCTTTTTGTTTCTTCATGTGAAATCAATTTAAAATTGAAAGCATGAGGAATAGTCCCAAATGCCCCCAAATACTCCTTTTCAATCTGGAACCTAATACCGTCAGAGAAGTAGCGACTTGTGTTGGGGGTGCCTTGGCAATAACAAGAGTGGCTTTTTTACCAAAAAAAAAAAAATAACAAGAGTGGCTTCATCGACGACATATGCAGCCAAGGCTAAAGGATTGTGGGCAGAGGGTTTGCAGAGATCAGAGTTCGAAGGAGATTTTGTGCGAAAGATTGCGTAAGTTTGGAAGTGAATTCATTGCCGGAAGTCGTGGTAAAGACACACTGTCGCAGTGCATAATTTGAAGGTAAAGATGACACAGGCAGGGATATTGGATGGCGTAACGCTTGTGGTGGAGTTGAATTAACGATATCCGTTTGGGATAAGAATGGTAGAGGAACCAATGACTTTAGGTTACAGCACAACATCATATGAGCGTATTGTTAGACTTACTTTCATTTGCTCTTCTAATATTTTAGATGTGTTTTCTTCCTCCCTATTCAGTCTAAACTATGAATCAATACAAGAATTTCTCTTATTCATCAATTTACAACTTAAATTTTCTCGTTTATAAAAATATAGTTTTTATTTGATTGCTCTTCAACTTTCACTCGAGTATTGACTTATGTTTATTTCTTTCAAGTGATTTTCATTTTAAATTCAACTAAATTTACTATGTTCTACGGAGTATTATTTACATAAAGATATACTCCCTCCGTACCTAAATGAATTTCACACTTTCTTTTTGGGGTAGATCAAAATAAACTTCACACTTCTATTTTTGGTAAGTTTTTAACATAAAGTTATCAATATACCCTTACTTTATACCTACTTTACACTCACGTTCTCTCTTCCGCTAAACTTTATCACCTTTTTGTAGGGGCATGATGGGAAAGTCAAAAGTAAAAAATTCACTCTTTTAAAAACCATAAAGTCAAACTATGGAGTTTATTTAGAACCAGAGAGAGTATCACATTACACATTTTTCGTATGTATCTTACATTAGTTATAACACAAAAAACACCAAACATCTAACATTTTTAACAACAAACAATAATCATTTACCCATTAGTCACATGTGATTACAACTTTCACTATCATTTAGAAATTAGTATTCACTTTTTATACTAAACATAAATCATTTATATTGACAAACACACAAAGTATAGTAACACAGTTATCACATGTATTTACACTATATGTGTGTATGTCTACATGTATATATAGGGTAGCATTGTAGCAATAATAAATATAGATGTTAGGTTGTTAATTAGGCATGTAACATGTCAGTCCAAGTCATAT